TTGATCTAAACCGACTTCATCGTGCTCCTCACAGTCGAGATCAGCTGGGGAGACTATTGCGTCAGCCTTTGGTGGCCTCTTCGGGCCCGCGTCGTCACTAGCGATCTGTCAGTCCAAAGCGATGAATGTGTCTGCATGGACATCACTCGCAAACACCAACTCATCCGAAGCTTTGAATTACCCGGTGGTGACCGGAATACCAACGGATATGCTGTTGGCACCGGTTAACGTGTCTGTATCCACAACACAGGCACCTTCAGAAAACACAGTACACGCGTTGGTATCGCTGTCAGTGGTGTGTGTGGGGGGACTGAGTTTGATCAGCGGACAAGAGGACCTCATACTCAAACCCGACCAGGTGGCCGCTGTTCTGTCGTGCCTTGCACTGGCGCCTCCCGTGCACGCACTGGGGTATACGAATGTAGGAAATAGTGTGGGAGATGAGGATGCCGAGGAGATGTTCGGTACGAGACAGTCTGAGAACGACAGCGACGATGTGGCGGCGGTGGCTATGCGCGCGATGCTCGAGGTCACACAGCCGAGCGGTATTGGTACAGTGGGTGGGAGGTAAGTACACTAGTTGTTATAGATATGAATGCATATGTCTGTGTCTATATACGTATGTATGTGTGAGTATATACATATACAAGTGTGTGTAGAAGTCTGTATACATAGCCATATATACACAAGACAAGATATGCTCGAATGTCTCCTTCACACCTTCCAGGTAATACAGTACATTGAATTATTAGGGTACGGAATGTCCATGGCTGCTACTGAGCATTCCTGCTTAAACCATCTATCATACAGTCACGTTGTAGTATGCGCGCTCACGTACACAACTTGTGATCTAAACACACACACACACTCACACACACACACACACACACACACACATATATATATATATATATATATGTACATATACATACACACACACATATACATATATATATATTTATTTATATATATGCTATATATATATATTTATATATATATATATATATATATATTCATACGAAAAGTAATGGATTGATTCTTTGCAAAGAGAACTTTCTCGCAATCTAATAGTCATTGTTATATTATGACATTTTTGCGTCTCGCACAATATGTCTGCGATTGAATCTCTTGAATTTAATACTGAAATCCATTCGGTTTGTGTACACCTGATTCTCTGCGAACTTACACACAGGCTGATTATGGTGACTTATGGCTTGCTACAGTCACTGCTGAGGCGGAATGCCAATTCAATAGCTCCCTGCATACACCTGTACATCAACGCTCTCCGGACACTCCTCTGGCATATGGCCTATGTGGGGATGACAGAAGATATCAGTAAGTCCTATATACAGGCTTTGCATAGTGTATTGTTTTGATTTCCGTACGTGTTTGCATTGTATTGGGGTCATGTTTCTATGGACATGTTAGCGTGTTGGAACACTGCATTGGGGTTCAGAGGAAACTAGTTTGGCAAGGAAGCAGAGGAAAGTCTTGCTTCCTTATATTGTGTTGTGCTACTTAGTTGTAAGTGGTGTTTGTTGCAGATGCATCCAAAATTGGTCAGAGTGTGTAAGTTGCAGGTGTTGTACAGTGAACAAAATGGGAAGCAAGTGCGCAGTACAGTATCTGGTAAGCATACATTGAATAGAAGAAATTGGTGCTCACAGCGTAGATCTATAGTCCATTTGTCTTGTTAAGTTGTGAAGCCGATAGTTCGCTTCTTCAAATGTTAATACGTGTATGAGAGTCATATGACTTAACAGACTCATGATTGTTTTCCTTTTGAAGTCTTTGTGATCGAGATAACCCCCTTTGGAGATACTTATTATCCTTTTGTTGTTATATACCACAGAGACGAGCACGCTCTGTGCAGACAGCATCGCACGTCTATACGAAGAGCTCTCCAAGCATAAGGTATGCGTATGGAACTGAGCTTTCTACTATCCCACATACTGTCATA